ATCCTACTAAAAATGCTGCTGACATGGAAAACAACCTCCAAGAACACCATTCCTTCATCAAGAATAGACTTGCTATAATTCCTCATACAATTAAATGAGAACCAATAGTACACTTAGCCTATGTAAATGGTTTAATTACAATCACCATTCAATGGGTGGGCTTGATTGATTATAGCATGAAAGAGCACACAGATGTATTTTATGAAGAAGTTATTAAAATACAAATTAATTTAGTTTAATATGGCAGATTTGGGATTGCACAAAGGAACTTCATGTCACAAATTGTAAGACAATATTAAAAGTATTGCTACAAAACAAACAAACAAACAAAAAAAACAGATCCACTGAAAAAATAAAGGCAAACATTCATCTATGTAAAAAAAACCCAAAATAAATAAAACTAGTTTCAAGAAATGACTGCATCTCCTGTAATTCTTATTTCAGATCATGCAAGCTTTTCTGCTTCTGGACAGGTTGTCAACAGGGGTCAACAGCAGGAGCAAGTTGTTGTTAAAAAACAGACCTCATTTCCAACTGTCCAGCTACATCTTTGTCTAAAAGTAGAAATATTTCCCATATAGAAGTGGCAGGACCAGCTTTTAAAACTTGCTTCATTTTAGAATTGAATTATGTTCTTTAATCTCCTATTGTGAAGCAGATTTTTGTGGCCTTGAATCAGTGCAGGTCTTCCTCAGAATCCTTTCATATTTATCAATATCCCTTATGAAGGCCAGATAACAGAACTAGACCGTTCCTGCAGCCTGTCATTGCTCTGCAAGGCAAAACTAACTTCTTGCTATTATTCAATAACCTCCACTTAGACATGAATAAGGATCACATTTTGCTCCCTTAGGCTACTGCATTGCTCTGAAAACTTAGACTTATCTCATTAAAATTCCAAGGTTCTTCTAAGAGTTACCACTTCCTAAACATATTTATATCTTTACATACAAATGTCTTTCTACAGAGTATCCTACAAGGCACCTTGAGGACAAAACATCTACACAGTATCAGTAGCTTGATTTCAAGATTAACACAGCTGAAAAAAAGGGAAAACACAGACACTGCTGTTACACTCTGTTCTCTCAAATCACCGTTCTCCAGTATGCTTCACAGAAATGGAATTTGCTTGAATTAAAATATAAATAATGAAAGTCCGTGTACAAAAATTATATTAAGAAATAGAAATAGAAATTGATCCATTTTTTTCTGCAGGATTTTATAAAGAAGATTGAAATGTGGGAGCAAAACAGAACTCATACAATTGTATGCAAGTTAAAGGATTTTTTAGGTCAATACTAAATATTCATCTGATTTGCATAAAAGAAAAACTACTCTCAAGGAATGTCTAGTTCATGGAGTGAAAGTTTTATTTATTGCAATTAATTCTGCACAACTTTTTATGCTTTGATTTTGCAATTTTTATTTAGTCCTTTTGATACTGTTGCCTGATAGGCTTTAATAAATTAAAAATTCATTTTGTGTACCCACAGCATCCTCTTTCTTGAATTATACATATAAACATATTAGTTAATTCATATTTTAAGATTATAGTTCAATTAATACTTAAAAGCTGGCACTACCAACAAATGAAGAGCTCTGCCATTTTTTTCCCCTCTGGGTATCCCTTCCTTAAAAGCATTAATTCATCAAACCATAGCTAGAGGCAGCAAAATCAATATTCAAGGGTAACTGCAGGAAACTTTGTTTCAGGTTTCCTTTTTCAAGTTATCTTTCATCTTAGTGGCTTGTAGGCCCAATGGGAAGGAGCACATACTGTTATTTAAAGCATGTAGATGGCTTCTTTATTTGCACATCCCAAGAACTGCAGATATAATTTCTAACTGTACATTAATCTGTTTTCTTTTTCCATTTATTGTACAATTCCATTTTTTTATCTAGTTATTTTATAGTCCTCTTTCAATGTATTATTGGGGAATGCCACTGTAACATCATAAATCAGCAACTAAAAAATTATAAGAAGAGGCCTCCTCTGTTTTAGCATGTTGCAATGACAACAGAACGTTATGACCTGACTAAGTAATTATTTTAAAGAACATTAATCAAAAATTTCATTATAAATATGTCTCCACAAGTTGCCTATATTTTGGCTCTTATTACTAAGAAATCATTCATGCTTCTTATATAAATTCCTACCTAAATTATTAATGAACAGTTTGACCATTGATATCAAAGGAAAAATTAACTACAAGATGCAATTACAGGCAAGACAAAATTTTAAAATTAAAAAGAGTATGCATACCATCATCTCTTATTAAGATTTTTTTTTTCTCTAGAATGACTGTATGACTGAAACAAAGGAAAATGAGAAATTATGCCATGGTGTGAAATAACTGCTCTCTTTACAAAAACCTGTGATAGAATTCTCAATCTTTAAAAATGCTTAAACTAGAAATGCTGAACTTGATTATAGAAATGCCATGTCAAACACAAAGAACAATTCCTGCCAGACATGGCACGAGCTGAGATGATCTCTAATTCTCCACACAGATGAGAATATGCTTTACTAATCTTCTGATATCAGATTAATATCAGCTTGCTTATTTAAATTCACCCTACTTCCCAAATTCCAAAACCAAACTTAGCTTTTATGACTAGTTAGGAGAGGACTGGACAAACAAAATTTCAGAAATATATGTATTCTCAGCTTATATAAGCTTCTTAATTCTTTGTAGAAGATAGTAATATCTAAATTGTTTCTCTGAAGATAAATTTCAGAAACTTCCAAATTTTGTGCTGCTAATAAAACTAAAATAAAAGTGTCAAGTAGAGGCAATTTAATTAAAAAGAAGAAAGATAAATGTACAGATTTAAACAATTTTGTCATGAACCACTTTTTACTGAACTATTATCTATGCAGGTCTGCAAATTACATGAAAGCAACTCTTTTAGATTATATACTTTTCTGACTTTTTGCCTATTTCTATAATTTAGATTGAAATCTTCTTAAATGATTCACTTGTATGAATACTTTCGAAACATAATTAAAAAACAATTTTTATTAAAAATCCCTATATACAGCATAGTAAGTACACTACATAGGAGAAACACTGAAATGGAAATTTATACGTCAATGCATTTTTATGCATTTATTTTGAAAATCTAAAAAATACGCCACTGACTTGAGAATTTGTGGAGGAAAAGAAAAATTAAAGGTGTGGTTTTGCAGAAAAGCTGCTGCTAACAAAAGTCGAGAATTTCAGACTTATTTTGTCCCTGTAAAGATACAGGAAATAAAATAAATAAATATATAAGTAAATAAAAATCTATATAAATTTAGGGAGACATAAAAAACATAAGAGAAACCTTCAGCGAGATAGAATGTCTTTCAAATTTACCAGCAATTAAGTATCCAGTGTAGATTCCTACTGAAGCCACATGGAAACTAGTAAAAGAGATTGATTGTCAGTATCATTCTTCCTCAATGATCATGCCATTACAAAAGATTAGAATTTAACACAGTTTATAGTGTGTGTGGCTAGTCAGTAGGCTAACTCTAGAAAGATATTCTTTCATAGTTGAATGTCTTCTAGCTCTAGAACATCAAAACTCAGATTAGTGGTATTTATTATTAGAAAAAAAATGATCACATAAACATATTTCATGCATTCAGCCTTCAAACTATTCATCCTGATAGAAAAACTCATTGGAAAAAAAAAAAAAACAACAACAAAAACCAACAAAACAAAACTGTAGGGAGCTAAAGTGAAACATTATTTGTACTTTTACCAGCAAAAGTCCATATTGCAGCAAATCATGATCTATTTTAACAGATTTTCATAAAAATATCTAGTCTTTTAAAGCCACGTGTGCATCAGTGCTCCAGAACACTGTTTTCCAGCTTATTATGCTAAATAGTTGCTCACAAAACTGCCTGCATCTAAATTCTGGAGTCATATAGTCTGCTGAGAACCATGCCCAGATGGTAGTTTCACTTGCTAACTTTGCCAAACATGAATAAAACTTCATCTGGAAACCTCAGTATCAGTTTTCCATCTCTAGTTGCTTTTATAAAACATTCAACCATTTCTAAGAAATATCTTTTGGAAAAAAATCTCATTCACAAAATCCACTAGAACTCTCAAAGCAAAGTTTGGTAGCATCTTAAAGCTTTGAAGAACAGATGTTATTTCAATGTGCAAATATTGTTTCAATATGTAAACACACAAGTAAGTTTACACACAATCTGTAAATTGGATTTTCTAAATCTGAGTAACTTAATTTCAGATCTGTAAAACCTTAATAATTACATTCTTTAAGATTCCATATGCACTGGGTATGCAGTGTACTACTGAAAAGACTGATGTTGATATGTTTTGACTATTAATCACATGGAAAAAGATGTAATTTAAAATGAATGCTGCTTACTTTGAGAGAAACAAAGATATCTGATCCTCCAAACATCAATGCCCATCTACTTATTCTAGGCAAATTGTTCAACCTGGTATGAAAATGGATCAATTTCCTGACCTACAAATAAAATGCATTTTTAACACTGCTGCTGTTTTTACAACTCGTATTCTGCATCTGTTCAGCTTACATTAAGAATTATTTCAACTATTTCATTATTTTGTTGGTGTGTGAATGACTACTAGATACTATTTTCTTTATATCTATTTTGCTTGATATTTGAAACATGCTTTATTTTGTTAAAAGTTTATCAACAACAGCCTCTATTTAATACTCTCTTCCCATAAAATTGGATTAATATCTGGCACACAACACAGTGGCAGACTGCTGAAGGATTATAATTTAAATCTGAAATACAAAACTTTTGAATTAAAAATACTCTGCCAAAGCAGAGACATCTTAATAAAGAAAATGGTTTTTTCAATGAAATGCGGAAATAAGATGCTTACATGTACAACTGCACTCATAGTTATTATGCTCCATGTAACACTAAGGAAATAACAAAACAATTCTACGTGACTGAACCTGAAAAAAAACAAGGAGAAATTATTTGAGCTATTAAGTCTTACCTGACCAGTGTCCAGTGGTGGAACCTGATCTGTCAGTACATGTCTCGCTCACGGGCCTAAACACAGTCTCCCAGCCACCGGTAGCATAGCGCCAATTCTGGGACTCCAGAATAAGCGTTCGCTGAGTGCCGTAAGCGATCATGAAGCAGTAAACTACGTGATGAAGTTGACAACCATAGCCACAGCCTTTGTTGATATTACACACAAGTTTCTTAGCTTTGCTGCAATCCTTCGGGTTCTGTAAGGACGGATGAAAAAGTGAAGCTGAAGACAAGATACACACGAAGGCATACTTTTTTTCCTGAAAAACTGACAAATGTCATAAATCACGCGAGCCATCCTGCTATGATACATCTCATATTAAAATGGATGAGTAAGCTTCAGCTCCATGAAAATTTTATTGGAATTTTTCACTGTGAACGTGAACAGTTATTGAACATACTTCACTATCCTAATGTAAAATAGAATACCTTCAAGATTTTAAATTACTTTCTCATTTGTGAATCTGTCAGAATAAGTCAACATTTGGACTCAGAGTTCTCATTTCATCAACATGATTTTCAGTGTTGGAATGTATTTTCCTTTGGCATTTTTCCAAGTTTGTTAGTTCTGTTACAATAAACATGGATGTCATCCAACAAAAGAAAATTTCCACCTGCCTACATGGTACAGAATAAAATAAATGCTTATTAATGGACTACTTCCCAGACTAGCTGACCACATAAACAAAGGAGAGAATTTTAATCTGCATGTACTCTCTATAAAATAATATACTTCACTTCCACAAACCAAGAAACCATAGCACAGGAGGCAAATGCCTACATTATATGAATGCTATGTTTAAAAGTACAAACTAATAAATATTTTTATATATGTGGACAACACAACAACATAATCAACAAAAGTTTTTCTTGTTGTAAAATACAGTGCTTCGCTGTAGACATTCATGCTTGCATGCCTCCAGACATACTTCTAAATTCCAAAAAGGTTTTCCATAGAATCTCTAGAATGAAAGTTAGTTTAGGATAAGATGCAAGAACACTGATATTTGAGCATCAATATAAATTCTGTTCCTCTCACATCTAACTTTAAATAAAATTTTCAGTAAATTTGCAACAAATCAAATCAAGTCTTTACAAAAAAAAAAGATCTCTGTCTAGAGAACTGAGATCCTTCCTTCAAGTGATCTTAAAGATAGTCTGAATATTCTGAGTACTAAAATATTTAAAAAAAAAAATTAAAAATTGTGAATTCAGTTGTGTAAAGGAGGGGAGAATAATTCAGATCTGGGAAATAAATTAAAAAAAACCAAACCAAACTCCAAACCCTACAACATATGCTATAAATTCAGCATTTTATTTTTTTCATTTTAAGGAAAATACGTCTGATTCAAAGCCTAACTAGGTATGAAAACAATAAATTAAACAAAATTTCCATTCCTTATTTTTGTTCCTCAGACCAGTACTTCTGCTATCACAAATTTAAGGGATAACTTGAGACTAAATCTATCTTTGAAACTATAACAAATGTACTTCTCACAGTTTTTCCAGAGAGAAAGTGGGGCTTTCTAGTATTCTGTGCAGGTCCTCATAGAAAGAATTCCATGAAACAATACCTGGTCATACAATTAGCAGTAGTAGTAGTATATTTTTACTATTATAATTATCATCAGCATTATCATATTTTACTTGGTTTCAGTTATTAAATTGTTCTTATCTCAACCCACGATGAGGTTTCTTTGTGGGATTTTTGTGTATGGTTTTTGGGGTTTCCCCACCCCCACCCCCAATTCTCATCCCTGTCACACCAGGGAAGAGGCAGAGTGAGGGAGCCTCTGCATGGTACTTCGTTGCCAGCTGGAGTAAAGCCACAACACTAATTTGAAAGGGATAATCTCTGAGAATTTTTAGAAAATATCGATAGGTAACATTTTCTACACTTGCAATTACCTTCAAATGCCTGTGTCCTCTTGAAAATTAAAGCAGTTAATTGATGGCATATTTGAGTTTTGTCTTTTATAAGGAGTGCCCTTCTAACTTTATTTCAGGAAAATGTAAGAGTTATATAATAGTTATGAACAATATTACAGAAATCAAGTAGGAATCACATAATGAAACATAATTTAATAGCGTAACTGCTTATCAATATTAATATAATGCACTTACTTGGGTTTTAACATTCGAAGACTTAACTAAAAACTATATATAAATATTAGTTTGTGACAAACATGAAGCTAGTTCAGCTAAATTCTTTATGCCTGTGGGTTTTTTCAAATTGCTATACTCAAATAGCAAAAAGACAAGGCAGTATTTGGGCTTCAATTACCTATTGAGAATTTAAAAAGAAAGGGAAGCAGAGATACTTATATATATTGCAGTTTCAACTGGTATTTCCTGGAAAAGGTGGAATTATTAACCATCGATAAGGAAGAAAAATTACATTGCATCAGAACAGCTTGTGTGTTCATTAGCCAAAACTGCCATAAGCAACCCATAAAGGTACTGAGCTGATAAAGGGTAACAGCCAATTTCAAAACCAGCAAAGACTGACAGAAGCTTTTTCCTCCTGGCCCAAAGTCACAGAAAAGGATTATGTTATTTTTGACTTGAATGAGCAGTGCACTCTGTTCTCAACCATAACAACACTGCTCATGACAGACTCCAATATCCAATTAAACGGTCTACATAATCAAGAGAGGGGTGGAAGGGACCCCTAGGAATGTCAAGCCCTGTAACGTTAAAGCCATACAACTGCGTTAAAAACAAACACACACATACAAAAAAACCCCAAACCTACACAAAATCCTAAACAAACAAAAACCCTGCAACTGACCAATCACACAAAACATACTGCAATATGTAGAAGATTAGATTATCAAGCCATGCCAGTTTACACCTTTTATTTTTCTCAGAATTATTTCTATGAACAGTGCAACTGAAAATGGTAACATTTTCAGAATAGTAAAATGGTTAAAATTATAAATTTCTATGCAAGAGAATGTCACCTAAAATTAAAATGGATTTGTATAACTGGCAAAATGGATTTGATGGTCTTTCATCACAACTAACATGGGCATACACTGTTGCTCTTACAAAATTCAGGGTTTCCACTGTATTCTTCTCCAGGGCTTTTGGTTGGCCTACTCACAGAAAGTAGGATCAGATGGGAATGATGTCAGAAGTGCCTCAATGTCTCACCACCTTCCAGTGTTTTCAAGTGTGCAGTTAGCCATCAAAACATATGACAAACTGGCAAAAGTAAACTCTTCTCCTTAACATACATTTTACTATACAAAAAAATGACTGTGGTTTTTGTAAATTTAAAACTGTTCAGAGAAGTGTACTTGATCCAACAAATCACAGCAGGATAGAGTGGAGCAGGCAAGCAGTCTGCTGCAAATTACTAAGTAACCTCATAAACACAGTATGATGTTCATTAAGAAAGCTGTTCTTTTTTTATATTTTCAATAAGTATTTTATTCCTTGATGTTACCCAGTATGCTGGAAGAAACAGTCCCACCCAAAATCTGTGAAAAAAATTTTTTTTTTAAGAGAATGATGTCAAGGAAGGGTGTTTCTTATCCTAGTTATCACGAATGAAGTTCACACCATCTTCTATTGCCCTTTCTTTATGATGCCACTTGTAATGGTTCTTCTTCATATCAGCTCCCCTTAAGACTTTGGTGATGAAAAGAATCCAAACAAACAGAAAACTAAACAAACAACCAGAAGTTTGCCTGAGCTGCTGGAAGAAAATGTTCTTCTTTCCCTAGTCAGAAATATTACATATTTGATTTGAGAGACAGAGATTCTTATCTGTCTCTAATGTTAATTCCTCTAGTTTGCACCTACTCTCCTACAACACACAAGCTTCAGCTGGAGTAAAACATTCCAGTATGCAGAGGGACTAACCACACTACACTCCTCAATCCACTAATTAGAAATTCTAGAGAAAACCTCATATAAATACTAGCAGTAATCACACTTTAAGTGGTTATTATCCTAATGCCATAATATCAGATACTGAATTTACTGAGTAACCTTATGAGGAAAACTCAAGACATGTTTCAAGACATTCAAAAATCAGATAATTTTTCATTTTCACGTGATAGAAACAATTCAGTCCCTTTCTAAACACGCATAAAAAGTCAGAAAGATTGGCTCTTTTTAACTCTTTTGTTTCCCTTTCATATCTATTTTGTCCAAAATGTTAACTTTAAAAATGCTTAGATTCATTCATATGCCTAAATTATCTTTTCTAATGTTACAGGAAAGGAACTCTTCCAGTGCTGTGTAATAAATTCAACAATCTAGCAAAAATGGGAAAAGATCTGCAAGATACAAATGAGCTTACAATATCAAAGTGAATTATCAGGATTCTCTATATTTGGAGTACATAGCATAAAACTTTTAAGGATGCTGAGTCTATCACAGGGAAACTGAACCACTATATGGTCTGCCTATTAAAGAAATCATCTCTTCACCCAGAACAGTGCCCATACTGACAGATGGCTGAAATCCTTCGGCTACTGTCCTCCTTCACCATAAAAGTAGTAAAAGCTGATGGAGAATTTTCTATGACAATTTTTCTACTTTGTGTTTCAAATTAGTTTGAATATATCAACATCAACAACACAGTATAACTATACTACAAGTTGTTTCTCATGAGTGAAGTGGAATAACTGGGAAAATACATAATACATTTGATTTGCTTGATTAGAGGATACATGTTTACACTTTTCAAGACTTACAGTTGTGAGAGCATCCTTTTGCATGTATGCAAAGTGCCCTGAGCCTTTTTTTATTGTTATTGTCATCTTAGCATGAGCACTTTTATTAAGAATATGTATCAGTAATTTTAATGTAAGGGAGAAAGGATTTAATATACTTTAAGACAGAAAAATCTAAGTGACACATTAAATCACCAAAAATACAGAGAAACCTAGAAACCTCAGAATACAATCTTGTAAGCAACTTGCTTTTCTTTGCATACATACAAACCTCCAAATAAATAGCATAAATATGGCAAACTATGACTAATATAACTGATGTGTTGTTGAGTACTTAGTAACCTTTCTCACCTGCTTATATTTTTAACCTTCAAAGCTGAACAGAAAGCTCTGATTTTTTTTTAAACAAAGGCAAAAATATTCTGCTACTGGGAGACTGCACGCTGAATCAGAAACTTCCTAAAATAAACAGAAAAAAAATAAGCACAAAAGGGAAGAGACAGAAAACTGCTGCTCTCGTAATCATTTACTCACTTGATTACAGTACTACAGGTGCCCTTGTCTCTTGCACCTTCTCTTCAACTGTTTGATAATAAACATCTCTGAAAATAAGTTCTTTTGCTTAAATGTAAGTTCCTAGCTTTTTAAATGTTGTTCTAACTACAGGGAACTAGTTACATGTAGCCTCATTAAATCAAATTTATGGTAATGTTATCCAAATGAAGTAGCAGTCATTGCTATTCACAATCATTCAGCTAAATGACTTCCCAGGGAGATGTCCCAAAATAATGCAGCTGTCACTGTTCAACATGTACCAGAAAAAAGCTATACAGTCCTTTCCTACTTAACTAAAATAAAAAATTACAAATATGTTCCATATAATTCTTTTTGGCATTGAGTTGAGAGGCAAGGGTTTTTGAATTTTTAATTCGATTTTATTTTTTAATACAGGTATATTATTAATAAAGGGGTATATATGTGTAATTTCAAACCATGGACTGCTTTACATTGCTGTTTATTTGCTAAACCCAAGAACTTAGTACTCTTTTGATGACTTGCACAGTCACTATAATAAAAATATCAACATTTATCAAAGCTAGAATTACATTTTTTGGAAAATATGTACTGCCCTTCCTCAGCTTAAACCACAAAGACAATTACAAGGAAACACATGTCCCTTCTTTATGGTTTCTAGACCCTTTCATACGAAATAGTCACACGGAATTTCATGTGCAGCAGTAATACCTCTGCATGTTTCCAACTTCACCAGTGATGATTTATTAAAAATACAAAACAAGGTAATTTCCTCTGTAATAGTAAAAAGAGGGAAATAGTAATTTTTGTGTTTCTCAGTGTCGAGATGGACCCATAATGATTAAATTCATATTTTAAATGCATAAATATGAAAAAACATGCTTTTTCCATGACCAAAATTTTATAATTGACTGCTTTTTAATAAATTTATAAATAAAACAGAAACAAAATGGCCTGTATGAAGTAAATTGATCCAAGTATGCAGACCTATTTCCGATTCCGAATCTAATACCACAGCTTTCTGTAAACCACCTGCTCATGCTCATCAACATGTTTTCTTCTGAAGATAATGAGGATAAAGATAGCTACCTCTCTTGGAAGTGCCTGAGGATATAATAAATTTCCTGAAAGACTTAACTACTTGTACTACTTGAAATGTTAGGATTCTGTATGTGTTGTGACTTGGCATTGGTTTCACTCTTAATATTGCTTCTACTTTTTTTTTTTAAGTGAGAAAAAATTAGCTTAATAAAGAGGAAAGTCCATTATCATAGATTATATGCATCTAAATAAATTTTAGGAGCACCTAACTGGTCTTCCAGCTCTTCAGTCAGTAAGTAAATTTATTTCAACTTCACTAGAAAACAATGTACACATTTACCTAATGCTTCAATTTTGAGCTTCTGCTCTCCTAAGCAACTTTTATTCTTGTTATTCATTATACATACTTGGAGGTCCTAATCTTGAACTCTATCCTGACTATTGTAAAACATACAATAGGAAGACACTCACCCTTCAGAAATATAAATATGTCTAAATAAGACAACAAATGGATACCATGCAAGAAGAGGAAAAGGTAGAGAAAGACTATTTATCAGCATGAAAAGTAGTTACAGTATACCACTGCCAAACAGTGACATCAAAAATGAAAGAATGAGGAACAGTTCTCAGGAAAGAGTTGAAGGAATACAATAAAGTGATGACTCCTGCATAATTTACAGGGATGTTTTTTCCTCAGAAGGGTGTCTTTTTTATTTAACAAGCAACAAATACATAGTTTGGTCACAGAAGATTCCAACAGGTGAACTGTGAAATAATGAACATCTCAGAAACAAATTCAGCTATTCACACAAGAGAAAAGATCAGGCATTAGGAGTGACCATACAATACAGGTTCACACATGCCACAAAAAATAAACCAAGTACAAATAAAACAGATTACATTAAATATCTTTTTGATCACTACATAAATAGCTGCATGCATTCAGACATGAAAAAAAGTCCCAAAACCTTCAGAACAAGTTTTATTTAAATTTATACACACACACAAGCACCTGTATAAAAAAGGCCTTATGCACTCAAAATATGAGCATATATGAGAAGTCTCACACATCTGTTGAAACAGTCTAGACAATATACTATACAAGCACTTCAAATTTGCATACTCGTGTTTTTAAAAATGGTTTTGTTCAGAAGTTTGATACAAGGACTTTTATATTTTTGTTTTAAACAGTGTGCAAACATATTTTTGAATTCTGACACTCTAAGGATTAAAAAAATAAACCAAACTTATCTTTTATAATAAAACAAGGAATTCAAACAGCTAAATACAGCCCATTGAAAACCACAGATCCAAAAAAATAACCACATACACAAGGAAACAAATAACCAACAACAAAAGTCCAAACCCTAAAGATTTCCTTGAAATACTATCTTCCATATACATATAAAATATATGTTTGAAACAAATGTTATAATTTCTTTTCTATGTAATTCATTCATATAACAACATTTATTTTAAAATATTGTGTAATTACTCTATTACAAGGGCACAGTTAAGTGCTATATACATAATAATAAAAAACGTTTACAGAATCACAGAATATGCTGAGTTGGAAGGGATCCACAAGGATCATTGAGTCCAATTCCTGGCCCTGCACAGGACCATCCCCAAGAGTCACACCATGTGCCTGAGAGTATCATCCAAACACTTCTTGAACTCTGTGAGTTTTAGTGCTGTGACCACTTCCCTGGGAAGCCTGTTTCAGTGCTCAACCACCCTCTGGGTGAAGAACCTTTTTCTAATATTCAGTCTAAACATCCCCTGACGCAACTTCAGGCCATTCCCTCGGGTCCTATCACTGGTCACCACAGAGAAGAGATCAGTGCCTGCCCCTCCTCTCCCTCTCATGAGGAAGTTGTAACTGCAATGAGGTCTCCCCTCAGTCTCCTCTTCTCCAGGCTCAACAGACCAAGTGACCTCAGCTGCTCTTTATACACCTTCCCCTCGAGGCCCTTCACCATCTTCATTGCCCTCCTTTGGTCACTCTCTCATAGCTTGACTGAATTACCTTGATTCAAAAGCGCTATTCTCTTACCTGTAAATAAGTTATTCTCCTCTGTACCAAATCTGTTAGATCTTTGGCCTCTTTTTCTCGCCAATCTCCTGCTCCATCTGTTTGACTGAGGTAGTACAAGTCGGTCATTATTGACCTATAAACAACAACGGAAAACAATCTTAAAAAAAATGGGAAACAATCTTGGCATTACTAAATCGGAGGATTAAATTAAAGATAAACTAAAGTGATATTTCAATTGTAGCCTCAAAAACAGTTTCTTCATGCCACCTCCTACTCCACAATTCAAACAGCAGTCAAGAAAGATTGAGTGTGTCCTTCATCTAATGTACATTCCATACTCATGTATTCAACAGGAGATGGGTTGGAAAAAAATCTTAGGCATAAGACTTGCTTGATACAAAGCATTTGGGTTTGGTATGTGCCAAAGCAAACTAAAAGGAAAGCACAGTTACATGCTAGATACATTATCCAGCGGTGCCACATGGAAATGCAATAGTGATTGCTACAATACCTTCTATTATAATGCATTGTTACTTTTCCTCTTGCAATTATCTTACTATGTTTGTATAGAATATATTATTACAAGTGTCTTTAGCACAGGTACAACATTTCTTCTATTTCTGTTAATGAAAAGCAACTATAGGATATTATTACAAGGTTTAGTAAGCAGTATGTTCTATAATATGGAGCTCCTTCCGATTCTGGAAGGAGACAGCAGTGTTCCACCTGTTTACAATGACTTCATGCCACTAATACTCAAGTAGAAAAGAAATAAAAAATTAAAAATTCTAAACAGACTCATGGCCATACAAGTCCATATTACAAAAATTGAATTTTGATGAACTATCAAATACTAAATTGAGGTTATGTAATACACTAGAGATTCTCTTCTTGGGGTTATAACATTTCATTTGTCAAATAACAGAATAAAGAATATCTTGTTATGAGAAGATAAATAATATATGGCATTTTTTTGTTAAAATTAGCCAGATTATTTAAAATTACTGATTTTGTGAAAAAGAGTTCAAACAGTACCATCTAGGAAAAGATTTTTTTTTTAATCTCTGTGGTTTTTGGGAGGAAATACTAAACGAGAGGCATATTATTTAAAGTGTTTGTTAAAACGTTAATGGTTATTCTAAAAGTAAAAGGTAGCCCAATTCAGAACTAATAATTTCAGAGTTGGTTTCACATATTGAGAATATTTAAAATTGCTAAACACTTCTCCATAACAAAGTTTTAACTTTGCACCACATTTCTTAATATTTTCATCTGAACTTTAGATGTTGCAATTTATTGCCTGAAATTCTTGATAAACCACAAGTTTAATCACTTGTGAGAAAGAGATGCAACAGAACAAAGGCAGAGAAATTTGGGAAGTGACAAAAAAGGAGTATGAGGATAAGAGAAGTATATTTCATAGCAATGTGTGAAGGTCCCGTTGTTGGCAGCACCTGTTAGTACTGGAAGCACAGAGGTAGTTAGCTAAGGCAAACAAGCTTAGCAAGTGAGAGAGGAGCAGACTGTGTATCCCTATTAAGGTAACTATTTCCAGTGACACAGTACATAAGCAATAAACACTGAAATATATCAAATTGGAACAGGCCTATCTTTATCAGCAGAGTTATCACACAGAGTTCTCCTGCTAATAACCATATTCATGGATCTGTACCTTTTCACTCTCATACGCTCTCATACACACATTCTGGCCTTTACACCCACACAGGGTAGCAGTGACACTGACCTATATAGCATCTAATGTTGTTGTAGTACATATTATACCCAAATTGTTCACCAGCACTAACCTTTACCTTCTGCCAATCAACTGGAAGAACTTTATCTACATTCTAATCTCAAACAATATAAACTGGATTTTCTTTTGCATGGTAACTGAGCTTGAAACACCCTATTGCAGTTTTGCAAACAAATAAACCATTTAAAGTATCATCAGGTAACTAGTATTAAACCAGTAACTATTAAAGACACATAATACTCAAAGTATATACTCAAACTGTGCAAACACAGTTTAGGGAAAATTAGAACAGAATTAATGATGGAGTAAATCTAATATAATAGATTATACACAAATAACAGATAAAGAGTCTGCTGCTCTTAAGACAGTGTTTTCCAATTTACAGAAAGCATTTAGGCTAGTAGACATATTAGAAAGGGAAACCCACGTACTTTCTTGGGAGTTTAAATATACTTTTCTTCCCAAATGGGATGCAACCATTTTGGGTGTTTAAGATACAATATAAATTTAAGGTCTAAACACTAAAAAAAAAATCTTCTATCATTAAAAGCAGCTGTGCAAGCACACAGCCATATTTTAAACAATTTTCAAATGCTCTTTCACAAGTCTTAAAAAGGGTCTTTTGTGTACTTCTGATGTAAGTAACCAGTATAGCCTCCTTTTACTTTATAGAAATATACTTCTATTAAATATTGACATAAAATAACTGAAAATATAAAGCTTACCAACTAAAAAACATTCTCTCTCAGATCTTAAGTAATTTTTACTATTTCTACAGAAAAAATTGTCCAAATTTTATATTACTGGCCATGGTGTCCATAGCAAAGGAAAGGCAGTAAGTAAGTTTTAATAATCAGCCTTACAGATGAAATATAATTATCTTCCATCACTGCTGAGCTAAGATAAATGATGAGAGAGCCATTATACAGCCTCAGTGGCTTGAGACTTTAGGTAAAGGCAGCTTTGCTCACTACAAACCATAAAGAATATAAAATAATTTGCAGGAAATTTTTATGAATTCATGAAAGAGTTTTCAGATAGTACCCACAGTCTTTAAAAAAAAAATTATAAAACTCTGAAGTAAACCAGGAACTGAAAAATTAATAGGTGTTATCACTCAGAAATTATTATAAAGGTAGTTCTATTTTAGGACACAGTGATAGAGACCTTCTTTCTTTGATTGTTACTACTGAGAAATGTGCATTTTTAAGTTTACATCTGCTAGGGTTTTTTGAGTGTGACCATCATGAAGGCTTATTAATGCAGATTTAGAAAAGACACAAATAGCAAAGACCAGGGTCAGGGGCCATATAGAGAGTTAAAAGTAGATGGACCAGTGATTCATGAGCCCAGGATAGGCAAGTGCAGACAAAAGATTAGCCTGCAAAGTATTATTAGAGGTTACTGCAGGTGGTAAAATGCAGAAAACTTCAGACAGTGGCATTGCAGATATTTAGTATCACACTTGGTCTTTCATTATGCTACTAACCAACGATATCAATTAATTGTTATTGCTGTTTCACATCATAAAATAAATCTTGGACCTGCTCTTAAAATCATTTTTCTCCTGCAAAGTATAATGAAGGAAAAAATCTGGCTATATATTTCATACGCATTTGATTGCCAAAATAAAGGGAGGGAGAGTGGGCATTTTTAATAATCAGTCTAGACAATTATTCCAGTCATAAGGCAAAATTACACTTAAATCTCCTAGGAATTTTACATCAACAAATAAAAACTAAAAGAAAAATCTGTGATTCAATGGAAATAATGTGAAAATTTGTCCAAACATTATGCATCAAACATTGGCCAAATACCACAAAATCCCTGCTGACAGCTGTTCCCCAGGAGGAGAAGGAATGAAACTAACTCAGTAACAGCCACCTTGTCAACAAAGGAAACAACCATGACAACTAGAGCATTAATTTGCTCTTTTTTATTAACTCTGTATCAAGTAGTCTTTCCAATGTTAAGCTGAAGTTACTCTCAACAGCTCTCTTCCCTATAGCAACAAGAAGAACACAATTATGTAATTCCCAATGCAGAAAACTCTGTGTTGGGCAACGTTGTTTTTCAAACAGAATCGGTAGTGAAACACTTCACAAAAACATTTGCAAGACTGGCACTCTCTGAGGGAAAAATCTACACAGTCCCTAGGACATAGCCAACAAACAGTGATTAAGGCATCCAATAACAAGCACTACCTTACTCATCTCTTTCCTTACGAAACTATCTCATCATCTGATCACTACCCACCTCTTTTATTTGCTTTCCCACATAAGGACAGCATGACAGACTGCTTTAAGTACTTATAATTAACATTAATCTTTCTAATCCAAATATTAAAATATGTATTAAAATTTCTAAGATATCTATTCATGTATATTCATGTATAAATATATAAATAAGTAATACCAGCTTCACTTTCAGTGTTCCATTCTAGTAAGACAGCACTTTTTAAGACAGCACTGTCAATGAAAGGGCATTTGGCAACTTTTTTAATGCCTTTAAAAAAATTCAAGTGCACATATACTTAAAAAAATTAAACCAAAAGAACAAAAAAACCTCAGCAATAACAAAAAAAACCCAAACACTAAAAACCTGTTATTCTCGGAGTGAATGAGAGCATCTCATTTGCTCATTCCAAACTTATGCTATGTTCCTTTCAGGAACAGAGACCAGATGGACTGTGTGGAGGGAAGACAAGACCGCTCCTTCCCTGGGGAGCTCCTGTGCATTGTGAGGGCAAAGAACACTCCAGGGACAGCAGTGCATCACATGCCAAAGGATGTGCACACAAAGAACTGGGAGTTTTCTGCAACTTACATGGCAAGACTGAAAGATTAAAGGAAAAGAAGCAAATAGCTTGACCTTAAAGGTGAAAGAAAAAAATTCCTTGGGACTAGAGGCAACCAAGAAGACAAGGTAATATTATTGCTTGAAGGCAATATTGTAAGTACACCAAGAACACAGGTTGAATATTGTAGAAACATTTTTGTATCTGTTTTCTCGTATGCAATTCCTTTGAATTTCCATACTGTAAATAGATGGTCTACATTTTAGTTTAATAAAACCTAGTTTCTGGCTGTTTGGCTTTAGCTTAAATAACTTTAGTTTTCTTTGAGGACCTTACCATACAGTAAGGTCTACACAGATCTACTACTAAGACTCAAGAGACTCCAGGATATTCTGCTTTTGATAACCACTGTGACAGTCAAAAGAAAACATGTATTCTACACAAAAATTGTCAAATTAAAAAAAAAAAAAAGGATGCAATTGCTTGTATCATATACAAACTTCTTCCAGTACCACAGTGGTTTCACACTTCCACACTGGGATTCATCTCATAACTTTTAAAATTCAATGCAAGGGACCTATGCATTTCTAGAATGGGTTTCACCTCATCCTTAAGTACACAGAGATGTGAACACAAGGCTGTCAGAAATACAGATACTTGCAAATTGGGCTTACTGAATTAATAGTCATTGGTGTAGAAAGGAAAAGGACTCATCCTGGGAGGCAGGGACATAAAAACCTTCTGGCGTCAAACACACATTATTCAAGGTTTCACTGTGATGACTGCCTCATCCTGGCTTTATAAACAGGGCAAAAATGCGTACACAAGTGATTTTATTACCATGATGAAAGTCTGGCATTAGACTACTTGCTCCAGTTTTTGGCAGAGATAGTTTAAAAAGTACGTAAGAATCAATGACCTGTAGTCCAAGAAACACAAACAGAAATAACTTCTATGAAGAATAACTTCTGAGGGGAGATAACTGTAGAAAAAACTGTCCAAGGAAGTGGCAGATTCTCTGTCAGTTCAGTGTTCAACTGAAGATCTCAAGTCTTTAGGAAAATTCTACTTCAGCCAAGCACTACTTTTATTTCAGTCAAACATACATAGCTGCACTTGAGTGAGAAATAATTGGATGAAATTTGATCACATCTTTTATATGAATAATAACGCTCAACAATTGAATAGTCCCTTCTCACTTTCAACTCAAACTGTGACAAACTGGATTTTGGGATTGTGGAATATTAAATTACAAAACTTAATGGACTATATTATTTGCCCCCATTGATAATCATAAATAGAAATAAATACATATTATCTTTAAACTATGTTTTAAATAGTATTTAAATTATTTCTAAAGAATTGAAAATTCTTACCATTTTTCCCCTTTAGTACAGTATTATTTTCAAAGGCTCATGATTTATTACTGATGCTTACACATGCAGATCGCAGCTTTTTTGGGGAAATTGATACTTGTTTAAGATGGTATATCTAGTTAATTCGACTATTTTCTTATAACTGTTTACTGATAAGACACAAACTGTCACAGCAATCCTGTTGGGAACAGAGTTATAAACATAATACGCTTCAAGACAGATTTCATTGAATTTTTAACAGTTTCTGGATTAATTTTGTTCAGTATGAACAAAACTCATACAGAATATTTTAATATGATACAAAAGGTACTCCAACAATGCGGAGGCCAAAAGATTGACAACAACTAAAAATATAAGTTCCAATGCACCTTTGAACAACATAACAACAGTTTAATTAAAAGTCAAAACCAACTAACAGAAGTACCTTTCCTGATGACCCAAATCAGACAGAAATTCATCAATGCGTGTTTGAAGTTCACTTCCTTCTAGATTTTTCAATTTCTTCAGTTCACTCTGGAGGAAAAACCAAAGTTCCTTAGCCCCATTTTCAATCCTCCTCCTCAGTATTTCATGGTCTTTTCCAAGGCCTTCTATTTAAAAAAAAAAATTTAAAAGGTATAAAAGCATCAGTAATTGTAGCTTTTTTTTAAGGGTTTATTTGTTAAGAAGCCAATACATTTGTGATATTAAATACCAAAACACCAAAACTTGTTTCAGAAGTAAAAGAAAACTTATCTACACACCATCTCCTGTCCGCTTCTTATAGTTTTCTATTTGTTCTTTGGCCTTTAGAAGTTGCTCCTCTAAAGCATGTACCTTTCCTGCAGCTGGTCCCTGATCAATGGGACCATCTGGTATCCTAGGATATAGAAAATAAAAAAGTCATATCACTTATAATTATTTGATAAATTATTTGCATTAACAATTCAACTCTCCTCTCATTTTTATGCCATACTGATTTACTGATAAACCTTGGTCATATTTTCTTAAAATGAAGAAGAAATTAAACATATTAAAGATTTTAAAACCTCGATCCCATAGAAGAAAAACAGTGCATAACACAGCTGCAGCATACAGATTCAACCTGATGCTAAACCGTGTTGCTTACAAGACTTCCACTCACTGACAAGAACAATTCTAGGCTCCGCTTGTGAAAATAGTATTTGTGGCAGCTTAACAACCATTTGTTGAACTGACTGGCATGCAAACAAAGCCTAATCGACAGACAAACCTTCACAAGACTCAAGTTCTGACTACTTTTTATATTCACACATAAAGTACATTCTGCTCTTGAATGCTGGCCATATATTCTTAGAGAACCAGAGCTCCAGCACTTCAACTGCACTCTTAAGTCTTCCTACACATTTGCACAAGATTATATCAATGTATTTTCTGTACTCAGAACAAGATCCAACCTTCTTAAATTTGCCATAATGATGATTTTTTATGACAACTCTAGTATTTTATACTGTTGGTCACCAAAAACAACACCAAACAACAGCAATTGTAACTTCCAGTTATGAAATCTCTGGTATGTGAACACAGGAAAAGTATGGAAATACGTATCATGAAATCTATGAGCCATAAATCAGCCCTGAGGGTATTACTGAGGTTTGTTCATCATCCAAACTTGAATTCATATATTAATAAACTGAAATTATTAAATGTTATTAATCAGATGCAAACTTCTATTTGCCTCACAAATTTAACATAGGGAAAGTAAAAATCCTTTCCATTTCAAGAGAAATTAAAAATTATTCCACCTTTCATTAGCTTTTGTAAGAGCTGACCCTGAAAAGGATTAGAGGAAGCAGATGTGCAATGAAAAGTCTTGAGAATTGCAAAGAATACAGAATTCTGGCATCCAGTCAGGGTGAACCAATTAAAAGACACCATGATAAATGAAATGCAATTATCATTAACTGCTCATATATCTGCTTTTTTATGCACTGAGAGAACAAGCATTTAAAAACTGAGTAAAATATTCTAATCTTAAACATGTGCACTCTCTAAATATACTCTATCAACAATCCATTTGTGAATTTCTTTCTACAACAAATTTACAGTATACAAACAAACTTTTAAAAAGTATATTGAAAGACATTTAAGCTCTCACAATAGTTTAAAACCACCAGATTGAAATGTATCTGCTGACTTTCAATCCACAATTTGTATTGTGACAGAACAACTAACTACAAAATTACCAGAAAAAAATGGCTTATCTTGTACAAGTCACGTACCCTAAAGCTAGAATCTGTGAAGAACAATAGGGTAAGAGGATACAAAATCATTACCATAAGAAGTCTTAAGACAGCGCACACATCTTCTTAACACAAGCAAAGTCTGTTAAAGTAGTAATTACAGAATCCTACAGAAGGATGGTTGCAGATGATATGAAAGAAGCACAATAATTCTGCTCATTTGATATAATTAAGATCTTAGAAAAGTACATTCATTTTAACAATCAACTTGCTTTGGCATACTTCAATAAAAATGTTTATCATACTTAGGCTGTTAGATAAAAGGAGGTAGGATGAGGGGGGACATTCTCCAAGCTAGTTGTTTGGACTTTCAAAAATTACATCATTTTAGGATAAAACTAAGATATCTTCTGTTTTTTTGCAGTTTTGTCTCTACATCTGTTACCTCATCAGACTCGGAATTACTGTCTTCCTCACTTTCATCCAGTCTCAAAATTAAGGAAAAGATTCTTCTCTGCAACCAGCACAGCTTGCCTGTTATTGCCCTCTACAAGTATTTCAACTGAGTTGGAGATAAGACAACATTTGAAGGAAAAGCATTTGAATTAAAATCCTTATCTATTCTCCTGGCATCATCAATGCAGACAACTTTTAGAGCACAATATCCTAGCAATTATGTGTACTTATTAATAAAAATTCCTGTTGAAAAACAGGAATTCTTACCAAAACAATTATTACCAGAATAATTCCTGACAACTGATTTGCTCCTTAGAATATAAGAAGTCAGTTTAAAGTAAGTTCATCTAAACTATGACAATCCTAATCAGCAATAAAAAACATGTCAGTAAGCATCTAGCACAGAATATCCTTCACTTATTGCTATGACAACACTGTAAATTCAGTTATAAACAGAAAATAAACACAATTATAACTCACTTAAATGGGCAATCAAGTTAATACACCGAGTAGCGGGTTTATTTGAATTCTCAATACTTACTGGTGTGATGATGCACGCTATTTCCTACCATTTTATAGTAAATACAAATTATCTTTTCCATAATCAACTCATCAAATGAAGATATTACCGTATAACTTTAAACATTAAAAAAATTTTATCCTAGAGAAACCCTGTTTCTTGCTTTGTCCCTTCTTTAGTAATCCAGCTACATTTTAAGACATGAAAAATAATCCCTACCACTGAGGTCACTTCACCTTCAGGTAACATAGAGGGGCAATGACAAAGTTGTGATCTCTAGTCTGGATCTCTGAAGGCAAAAAGAACCCCTTAAAAATTAATCATAGTGACATTCAATTTAGCTAGAAGAACTGCCATACTATGTAAAAGAATTGTAAAAATAATTTAAAACAAAACATAAATTATAAAAACCATTTTAACCTTTTTCTGTTTCCAAGATATTTAAAAGGTCACCCTAATTTATCAGTAAAAGGAAAAATGTAAGATTTCACAAGTTCACACTCAACTATTTTCTCTTTTTGTTTATACCCAAGATCTTTGTATGAAGCTAGAAGGTTTAAAACTCAGTAAAGCCATGTTATGATTGTCTTTTCTTCTTTCGCTTTTTTTTCTTTCCCAAGATGAAAATCACATTCAATTATTAATGACCACTGACACAAGCAAAAAGAATACAGGTTGTCACTTTACCCTCCTAAGATAAAACCTCCTCAGTTACTAAAACTGAAAGAAAACACTCAATGTTATCTGCAAATAAAAAGTAAGCAGCATCCATTATCAATTTAAACCAGCACAGTCCTAATTAGTGCTGATTTATATCCATTGAAGATGTGTCCCTTCCCTTAATTCAGAATTGTACAAAAAACAGTAAAAAGAGCAGAGGTGCACACCACGTAGTTCAGCTATCTTCATCCGTTGCAACAGCCTCAGCTTCAAACCTGAGATACTTTAAATACATGTAATAGGAAACCACACTTTAAAAGAATATTTAAGGTTTTATCAACCCAGAGCTATTCATCTATCCAAAACCCTTTCAGTGTTTTCCACAGGCTTACCAGGCCCAGTAACTGCCCAGAATTATGTACTTTTAATAGAGTTGGTAAAGATCAATTGATCTGGAGTTTGGATTCTATACCAGCCCCAGCACTTGCTACTTTAAAGCAACTGTAGTGCTCTTTCAAAATTAAACTCTGATCTCTTCTTTCTCTTCTTTGTCAAGCTACTCAGAACTATGAGAACAATGTCTAGAGATACCTGTGTTTGGTTTTATTTGTTTGATTACATTTTGCCCTTTTCCACTCTTGTTCTGCTTTATAACACATAGTCCTATTCAGATTAAGAAACAGGTTATCAGATTTATCAAAAGAATTGCAGGTTCTACAAAAGGCAATATTTAATAGACTCTAGGAAGCAAATATAGTCTGAATGAGATGTATTGGTAATATGTACACACTACGAATACATTTAACAAGATTCTCTATTTCCCTGAAGAGAACTCTGAAATCACTGGTTCCTATACTGCCAGGCTTATCTTCTACAAATGTACCATAAAATATAAAAATTTGACTACCACCCAGCAACACACAAAGGAAGTCCAGGACAGGGATGAAGCTTAGGACAGGGATGAAGGCATACACAGTTTCACAGTTTCCATCTAAGAAAACAGGACATTACAAAAGCTGACATTTTAAGCCCTCCTCCTCCTAAAAGCCTTATATCACCTATATGCAACAGAGACAGTCTTTAGCTTTCATAATGTAATCCTAATAGTAAATAAAAATTTTAGGTAAAACTACATTACAAGCTGTGTTACAGGCAAATGATGAAAAAACTTAATTTAATACTTTGATTTGATTCTTACTCTCTTATGGACTTTCTCTTAAATAGCTACAAAAATTGTACTAAAGATTTCCCTTTTTGCTGCGAGACCTACTATGTCTGTATTAAGTGTTCTTGAAGGGGCTCATTCAGTTCTACTGGATATAGAATAGTAAAACAACAATCTCTAAAAGCCTCTGTTTTATTACTATTTGCACTAATGAAATCTAGACTGCTTCTAAAATCAACCCAGCTTTGCTCACACAATATTGTTTATGATCATACAAGGACTACGGTAACCTCCAAATCTCATTATACCACAATATTCATGCACGTAATTTAAAAAACTCAGACAATACAAAACACTTTTCATTCCATTTATCTTCTGCATCACTAATATACATCTGTGCCTCTTTACAGCCCACAAGTAAGGTTTTTACAAAGCATCTTATCGGCAGAAGAAAAACTACAGTATGTTCTCATGTAAGGCTTTTTAAATGCACCATAAAAACTAAGTGGTGTCTGAAGTCATTACAAGTAATCAGGAGTGCACCACAAAAGTGTACTCAGTTCCTAAAGGATTTTTTTTTATATTTCAGGCACTTTTCAAAAAGATGTGAGTGTTCCAACTTGCACTATTGAAAAGGTACATATTAGAAAATAAGTATCTCAAAATACACTCCCCAAAAATCCGTACAAAAATATGAACTATTCTTAACCAATACTAGTAATAAATTAGAAATAATTTTTTAAAAATCATAAAATCAAGAGAACATGATGTATTTTGTGAAATCAAACACAAAAATGGTTGGGGTGGGAGGGAAACACAAACCAAAATAACCCAAAAAAATACTTCTCCCTGTCCTAAAATTCTACTCCTCATGCATCCTGTGTGAAAAGAAGAAACCAGGGGAAAAAATTAAAAAATCAGACATGATTTAAGTATCATAGAGCAAAAAAGGGTTAATATTTTTTAAAATTTTCTTGCATATATGAAATTTTTTAACTTTTGAATGTTTAGTTTTGCATGCACATAAGGTGTGTTTCATAAGGCACATTTTTGGTTTTCTTTTTTTGCTGTTGTTGTCTTTGGGGAGCTGCTACATAAATTGGCAGTAAAAGAGGATTCAAATCTCGGGGTGGAAAGATCACTTCTTGTCGTTGTATGTTGGCATTCATAGATGGTTGAATGAAAATAAGCATAGCCCAGCTCCTGTTTTCAGCCATCCTAGAGGACTGACACTTTTATCAGAAGGATGTCAGAGAAGTCACAGGAACCCATAATAATGGGAAATTCCAAGCAACTGAAAGGTATTGTATTTACACACAGTTTACCATATAAATAACATCCCAATGTAATTAAAGATGAAATAGCAATTTCTTCTAACTTCAAAATGGAAATGAAAAAACAACTTATGCTTTCATTAAACTACTAATTCTTGTAACCATACCTGCCTTCTATCCCTTCCTCCCTATCCTAACTAGCTATTATTATTGGCACAGCTAGATATTATAATAATTTTCTACCATTCACGAAACTTCTTTTCCCACTAAGATAAACTCTGTTAACTTGGAGCTTTTTATCATCCAAAAGTTTTATCTAATAGTGTCAAAACTAGTGTAGTTACTCAGATGTTTGTTTATTGTTACAATTTTACAGGTAGGCACTCTCATCTTGTTTAAACTCCTCCACAAGTAACATTAAGTTAGATTCTTAATTGAAATACACTTCATTTCATGCACCGGCATGTTGGATACCATAATATATTGTATATTTTAACCACAAAGGGTGTGCTGCTTTGTTCTCTAGATGTAAAATCTTAGTGGAGCAGGGCAGCAAAAGCAAGATTTTACCTCAGTATAACAAAATCCAACTTTGCAAGAGGGTTTACCTTTATGAGTTACCCTGGTGTAGAGACTCAACTACTCAGAGTTCACAGCCAGTATTAGTAAATAGAGTTTTCAGTACAAAACCAAAAATTCTGGCAATTAAATCATATTCAAGTAATAGTTCCAGCCTTTCTGTTTCTGATCAGTAAAGCCTAAATCAAACTATGTCTTCACTGGAGGATGTAAACCAGAGCAAAAGTAATCTTTTCTGTCTAATTCAATTTCTGAAGTTAATTGGTGTTTTGTTTCTATAATGTATGCTCATAGGAGCAGTGACCTTTTCCAGGACCCAGATACTGAATCCATGGACTGCTGGTTAATGCCCCATTTTAAACAGACATAAAACTGCTATAAAACGGTAAGTCGGATAATTTTAAAGCCAATAGCTATTTTCAACACAACTTGTTCTATCTGGCAAACGAAGAAATGAGACAATGAAATTCTGTATCACATTTGTGATTTAATACTTTAATAATGGAGGTTGACCAGAATATTTCTCAAACCTATTTGTGACATTTTTATGAAAACAATATAATGAATTTGGCACAATAAAAATAATGAATTTGGCTCTATATTGTCATAGATCACTTCCCTCAAAGTCTACTACTTCATCAACCTCAGATTACTTCCAGCAAAAAAATAGGTCTGATAATCTTCCAGTTTATACTGGCTCATTCCTGGAGAGCCCTAACTACTGAAGCTGGAAATGTGTGGCTGTTCAAACTGGTATTTAAAATCATTTAGGCTTTCTCATGCAAGAATTTCAGATTCACCTGGGGTTATATACAATCACTTTGAGCAAAGGTCTCAAATATTTTTAAACAACATATTCACAAAAAGAAGCTGAACAAAGTCCTGTTAACACAGTTTTGGATCACCTAATCTAATTCTAGAAACTTGAAGCAACTAACTGAAGCATAGAGAAGGAATGCTGAAATGTTTTATTCTAACATGGTTAGATCAGAAATAAATTAATGTTTCTATTTTTAGAAATCATTATCAACAGTATAATCTATTATATAAAACTTGCCCACCAAAAACACAACATTTATTTGAATATAGATAAAGTTAGGGAACTATAGAAAGGTATCTAGGAAAACCATCCCTGCCTAAAGTATAGTTTAGCCTCTATTTAACATCTCCTTTCTCTACTGTGTCCGTCTTGAGAGGAAAAGAGCACCCTGTCATCTGTAAAATCATATACTCTCTTCTAGTCACTGTGTAACTTGAACGGGTTATATTTCAATGACTGTGCAATACAACACATTATCATTTATTCAAGCCAGACAAACATGGGGGGCTGAAAGCCTGGAGGGTAGTAATCTTCACATTCAAAGCCAAATATTATCCCCTCTGAAGCAAGAAACCCTAAGGTTCACTATTACTGTCTAATAGTTAAGAAAGCTAAAGACTGCATTTATTCAAATACAGGATCTTGCTTAAATTTCATCATATCAGCATACTCTACATTACACCATTTTGTCAAAAAAATATATTACAGGCTTTGCCAATGCTGTTGTTATCATTTATTAATAAATTGATCATAGAAAACTACAGCCCACTCAGCCACCTATGGTCACATTACTCAAGGTGAAGATTATCTGTTCTTACTGTAGAGAGCTGTCATTGTTGGGACGGACTACGACATATAATATTCAGCAAGAAAGTTTATTGGAAAAGAAAAATGAAGCAGCAGCAGCCACAAGCTGCAATTTACAGCCTCTTAAATACAGCTCTTTTGGTACACATATACCACACAGACAGGTCAGCTTACATACACAAACTACAATTCTCACAGCTAATAGGTAGATTTTAGCTGGACTTTCTCAGTCCTACTTTCTCACAACATTTCTGTGCACCTGTCCCTATTTTCCTTTGATGTTTATATTTTTCTCAGTCACTCTGTTCAAAACAAGTCCTTGTTCGCATGAGACAGTGTTCCCTGTTCCCCCGGGACAGCTCTTCTCCTGCTGCTCCTCTGCTCTCTCAGGATGCATCAGTATGTTGTCAGGACCAGGGTCTCCATTCTCAGCCAGTTTCTTGTTCCATACCAGGGGTCCCGGCCCAGTCGAGATTCCCCACGGAGAGCACTTGGGTAAGCAGCATTTCTCCACCTCTGGGGAGCAGCACATGAATGCTGAGGTATTTCTTCAGTGATGACATGTTCAAAACTAAGACATCTTCCTATGCTAAGAAGCCTCATCAGCGCCCAGCCACATCTACAGTGCATTCCAGAAACCAGGAACAGAGTGCAATGAGAAAACATTTCTGCAAGGCAGGGAAGCCTACCCAGCCTACCAGATCAAATAGCCCTGGCTATTCATGAAAGAGAGAATGCACCAGAAGAAACATCAGGACAGGGTTAAGAGGAAAGGTATTCAATTCACTGCTACAGTCCATATGTGTGATTTCATTAAATGAACGTCAGAAACAAACTGATTTAAAGATAAGGTAACAGAAACAGGATTAGAACCCTACAACACCCTAGTAAAGAAAATACATTTGTGCAATTCTATAATTTTTCCTGTGAAATATGAAGCAAAACATCAAGGCAGAAGATCCAAAATGTCATCTGCTGCTAGAGAGTATTAAAAGGCAAGTCCAAAATCAGTCTCTGCCTGCCAAGCAAGAAGCAACCAAGGGACATGATGAAGACTCAACTTTCAGTGCCCCTTGCTCTCCATGTACTATGCAGGTGATCCTGGCCACACCAGTGCTACACACATCTGGTGCTTGTGAGTACATAGTTGTAAAAGAGACAGTAAGTGAATTCAGCTCATTTATAGATTTTTAAAATAAACATTACCCTCCCATTCTGAAAAATCTTGTACTGAGCTTTACTCTTCTCTACCTTCCTACCTTCTCTACCTGCTCTTGTCCCCATGATCCACCAGGATTTTTACACTGCACATGATGTCCACAAACTTAGGTCCAATCTGCCTAAGCAGCTTTCCCTTTCAAGTTCTTAAGAAAGGAGATATCATAAGTCTATGTTAAAATCTGTCTGTCTGAAAAGGTGAAAGAAAACACTGTAAATTGTAAATGTACCCATCTACAATCTAATAAATAATTATAAAAAGTGAGATGATCCTACTACTTTACAAGTATTTCTACAAGTTTAGCAGCAAGGAAGAAAAGATAAAAAAATTCATATAATGCACCAATCTATTGCAGCTCATCTTCAGTTTATCTTCAACAAGTTGTACAAATGTTTTCAGTATTTTTAAAATTAGCTCTTCCAGATACTGCATGCAGAGTGTAAAGAACTAGTTGTTCTAAGTTGTACAAAGATCATAATAATTGCATTTCTTTGAAGTTGGCATTGAGAGGTGAATCACCTATAGAACCTGTTATTGTAACAGTAGTACTTGCACACCATTAAATAATGACTGTTAAATAATAACTACATTAGACCAGAACTAAATGTACATTATTCGTTTAAAGGCTTTGCAATATATTTTCAGCTACTATAGCACAGATTAAAACACTCATCTATACTTCTAAATGTTAAATATGATTTTACAAAAAATCCCACATACAACCCTTACAATTTAATTTCTGATATTTCATTTTTAACCATTTTCTGAACAGTTTTAATTACTTTTAGATCCTACCTGAGAGATTCTGCCATGCGCCTTAAGTCTTCATTTTGCTGCTTTAACCGTTCAAGTTTAGCGAGGATCTTGGATAACTCACGACTAGAGTGATCTGGGTGCTCACTGTCTCGTACCAGGTGTCCACCAATATAAAAGAGTAAAGTTCCCCAAGCAAAGAGGATAAGCATAATCCAACGCCAGGAACCAGTCCATGGCCGCATTTTCAGAAGTTCAATTCACTCCAGAACTGCTTCTGCTCACAAAATAACAAACATTTTAAGTCCTTAGCTTGTACAAAGGTGGACAATTTCAATTCCTCTGCTTCACCACATTGTACCAGAGAAAAATTATTTTCAGTGTTTATCTTACTGCAACTCCTTAAAGAAGATTCTTATAAGGCTGTACATAGAAATCATTAATATTGCATCATTCTTCATTTATATTCTGTGGGAAAAAAATAAAAAAATCTGAAATTATAATTCTGATATGTAAAAATATATTGGATTGCAATTAAGCTAAACGTACTGTCATTAACATTCAGGAATGATAATAGACAATGTTACTACTTTCTGTCACAGAGACAAAGAAATAAGCTTTTAACCTTCTACAGAACAGCTGAGTTCACGAATGAATGACAAAGAATATGCAATTAATCCCGGGTTTGAAATGCCCAGAAGAAACGCTGCTTTTTATAAGAGAAATATTTACTAATTTATGTGTCATTTTATACATTAAAATAGTTCAAAAATCATTCTGTGGTAAAGTCGACAGTCTCCTTTACTATCAACAAATAGCTTTTATTTAATTACAAATACATATTCACTTTTTTTACTTTTATTTACTTTCTTCTCCATTTTTACCATGACTTCCACTTTGTAACAAAGGAGTTATAGCCATTGTAACAACATATTCTGCTATTTGCAAGTATTTGAAAACCAGGCATGGCTTTAGAAACCTAAGTTTTAGAAACACTTCTCTACTGTTTTAAAACTATCAAACCCATTTTGATAAGTTATTATTAAACTATAAAAATGCAAAAAAATTATCAAAAGGTAATATCATCTCTCATACAAAAACACTGCAGCATTTTAAAAAACGAAAAATCACCTCAACTCGTTTTCTACTTGGCAAAACATCATTTAATGAGTGTAAGAATCTCCTCAGTCTATCTAGAACAGATTTTAACTGACAGCATGTCTAAAATCTTCTTAAGTACTTCTCCCTTCACTTCCTTTCTCAGTAATGTAAAATTCAGACCTTTTTTAAAAGGTATATATATATGTCATTCATATTCAATTTCCAAAATAACCCATATTTTGAAGTCTCAGGTCTATAAATCCACAGTATTTCCTTTGAGTGCTATCCACACCTACCTTCTCTCAGACTACTCTTTTCTGTTTAATCCTTCTTTAACCTTGGCTTCTTTTTAATTTCATTTAGTTATCCTGTTCCAACTCATTTCAAGTTTAGAGAAAAGTCTTCCCAAACTGCAGTAACTTCCAAACTGACCCACTTATGGAGATATGCCTGGAGTATGCATTTCCAGGAGTATGCATTTCCAGATACAATAACGTTAACATAGTATTGAAAATGCTCACAAATTTCTCTAGTTATCTTTTAGAAGGGGGGTTGTTTGTATATGCTTGAAAGAGGCAAAAAAAATTCACTTATGACTTATAAGACAGTACACAAGACCAACTATTTGAATTGAAAGTTGAAAATGAAATGGAAAATATTTGTAGTACCTCTCAGGTTTTTCCACCTAATGTACCTGTGACAAGGGGAGTTATAAGCAGATCAGTTTTCTTTGAAAGTAATGTCAGAAGCCCACTTTAAGGGCACGTCATTTTCTAAAGATCTCTAAGAAAGCTGTGTATAGCTTTTGCTTTAGCTTGGCAAAAGCATGGGACTGCCTTCAGGAAAACAGTGGTTTTTCCAATAATCTTCATGGATCATTGCATAAGTAAATGGAACCCACATTGCATGTAACAGAATAAGCCATTCCCAACCCACAGCGGATTGTGGGTATAAGCCAAGCAAGCCTAGTTACTTGCCAGAATGATAAATATAAAACTCTGATGGATTGACATTTCAGGTTTAAGTGAGAAAGTGCATTCTTATATCTATACTAACAATCAACCAGAAAATGTCTGACTGTGGTTGCAACACGGTAAGTGAAATCACAAAGTCTATGACAGCAGTGGAAAGAAAAAAATAATAGGAGATTTTAAATATTCCTCTATTGATTGGGTAAATATTATACTGGGAATTGTGATAGAGACTAAACAGATGCTACAGACACCATAAAGTTACTGCTTAAGAGAAAAACTACTGTTAAAAATTCTTGACTTAATCATAAGCAGTTTGCGGAACTTTGATCAGAAAGTTTCTGCTGGAGGACCACTTTATAACAGTCTGCATAATATACTCAGATACGACTGCCTCCTAGGAGAAACAAAGTAAAAACTGCACTACAGCTGTGATTAAATTCAAGAAAGGGAACTGTTTTAAAAGAGAAATGGACTTCACACCACGGGGAAAGATACCATGTTTCTAATTAAAACAAGAAGTAAAGGTGCCTGATATAATTAGCAAAGAAAGTATCCTAATAAAAAGTTATAAGCATGGTCAAGTGACTAGGTAGATAAGACTAAATTCTGGTATATAAACCACATAAAAATTAATACTAAACCTTTTATCCAAAGTAGATAGCTTACTAGAGACTCCAGGGTCCACAAATGATGAGAGTATATAAGAACTGTTTATAGAGTACTTTGCAAGGAAAATATTGATTTTCTTTTTTTTTTAATCTGTTTTTTATAAAACATGAGCTTAAGTAGGCTCACATATCAGGTACCTTCTTTACCAGAGGAAGTGTTGGTCTGTCTCAAACAACAGTGCTAGTAGATCAGACTATCAAACAAATCCACAAAATTAACATAACAAGTCATCAGGAAGAGATGGTACTCTTCCAGCAGTTCTAAAGACGTTAAAGAATGCAGTAGTTTAATTATTAACAGTAGTGTGTAACATCTTACTTATAATCACCATGCAGCAAAGCAATGGAAAATTAAAAGACTAAACTGAATTATTTGTAAGGGCTACAGGAGGAATTCCTGCAGCTACAGGGCAGAAAAAAATTATATTCATGTCAGGCAAACTGGCAGAAATTATTGTAAGGTGAAATAAATCTGCAGACATTAGGATGCATGCAATCAAAATAAAAAAGTACTAAATGGCTTTTAAAAAGAAATTGTGCCTCATAACTTTATTGAAGGTCTTTTGAAGGCATAAACAAACACATCGGCAAGAGAGAACCAATCCCAATTGTTGATCTAGTCAATATGGATTTTCAAATGACATTCAACAAGGTCCCCAAAATGTTTCAAAAAACCTAAGCTGCATGGAAGAAGAAAGTTCATCATGAGTTAAAAGAGATGAAACATACAGTAAGACTATGTTTAAGTTGAAAGAATGATCAGGGACCTCTCTGGACCCATGGTAGAGTTCATACAGTTTGATATATTCATAAATCATTTGGAAAGCAAAGCAAAATAAGAGGTAAAAAATCTGATAGCAATGATCATAAGGTCATCAAGATGTTGTTTAATGAAGAAAAAAAATTAGAAAAAATCAATTAATCAGTGTGTAGAGTTGTGTATAGATGAACTTTGAAGGCTATCGGCAATGGACTTAGCTGTGATTGGTAGTTCCATAAAACACCAATTCATCATTGGGCTAAATGCAACCAAGTCCTCACAGGTTTTATCTGATTTCTATCAATCTCTGCTGATGTCATTGATCTTTTTATAAGTTAGGTCATGGTTAAATATAAAATAAAGATGCCAAACTAGCTGAATAAATAGGAAGAACATTCTGAACTAACATTAAACAGTCAGCCTGTACATCAAATGTGGTGTATCTAATTATACATGAGTTCTAACAAATCTCAACAACTGACTTTGTACTGTAATGTGGCTTTCACATTATTTCTTCTATTTCATACTGCTCTGGGAATGCAAAATGTCAAAGTATTTGACATTCCAGGGATGAGGCATCCAGTAACCCTGGATGCCCCATCCCTGGAAGAGTTCAAAGCCGAGTTGGATGCAACTTTGAGCAGCCTGATCTAGCGAGTGGCAACCCTGCCTGTGGTAAGAGGGTTGGAACAACATGATCTTTAAGGTCCCTTCCAGCCCAAACCATTCTATGATTCTGCCATTCATTACTTCAGTCCATAAATCAAATTATACTACACAAAAGACTAGCAGAAATAAAAATTGAAATAGGGAAACAAGAAGGAAAAATTATCACATTTATATAACTCTTCAATTTATAGCTTGTGTCAGATTTCTGAAAGATCTCCACATGTAGACATATACCACAGATATCTGCCTGACAGAAAGTCAAGATGTTATGTCAATATTTACACTTGCCTAATTTTCTACAGCTGCTTTTGAGTTTTCATACTATAAACTAAGCTCAGGACTGCCAAGACCGAACACATGAGCCTCAAGTTAGAAAAAATCGTAGCAGCAGCCAACAAATGCAGTAATTCAAACCTGACATGAATCATACCAAACATGGTCATGAACATCATCTGACTCTGAGCATCTAAATAAGAACCCACCAAACCTAAAAGATGTAGGAGGAGAGCAGTACCAATCAATATATTTTATTAAGTGGATGACAGAATAATATTTAAATAGCAATGATTAGTGTTATTATAAATTTATGTTATTATATAGTGACGAATCCTTATTCTAAGAATACTATGTTACTTTTATTTTACCAGAGGAAGCCATGTATTTTAATTTATTAGTTATCCCCTGAGATTTACCATAAGTTCTTGTCTTACATTTGATTGGATTTACCCATACCCTTGCATTTTCCAGTGCATAAGCACGTCAAAACATAGTATATTGACAATTAGCTAATTTACATTTTCTTCCCTGCAATTTCAGATTATTTTCCCTTCTAGGGGATCTTGAGAATAGCTGACTACATTTGTATAATGTCACTTTCTAAAATAATGTAATAAAGTATCTCCTTTATCTCTTTCAAAAGGCTTACACTGGATATACAGACTGAAAAAGAATGTATTCCTCTATTCCCCCCAACAGCTCTAGAGCAATCTTTCATGTTAATTTTCTTTTAAAATTTAGCACCATACCCAGTTAAGAGGGTTTCAATCTGATCTCTCAGGGAAATCATCTCTCATTTATAAGAGCCCAGCTACCATCTGAATTTATTGTCAAATACATAGCCCAGAAAATGTGGTTAGTGTCACAAATTTATCTAGACTCCATTAAGAGAAGACAGAATATTTACATAAAAATAAGGATCTGCTTCAAGTCTTAATTGGTAAATCAAATTGTGCGTACTATACACATAAGCCAGAATTGATTGTAAGAACATGAAAATGTTTTGTTACCAAATTATCAGGGAAAATTTGGTTAAAAACATTGCTTCAATGCAAGTGTTTACAAAATGACTAAAGGAAACCGTAAAGAGAACATTAACTTCATTAAAATTATAACTAAAAAGAGACTGAAGTGTAGCACCAATACCTTAATGAGAAATGTCAAAGTTATTTTGCCATGGAATAAATGATTTATCAATAAAAAATAAATACATACTACCTTTCCACATCTTTCTTCCATAAAGCCTTCTATTTATTTTAAAGCTTTAAAAGGTACTTACGAATTAGAAACTCGAATAGCCCAATACTTAATTTCAAACAGAAGGACATATCCCATGACTTAAATAAGGTCCTTATTAACTTACTATTCCAAACATGCTTTCAGTAACAAATTCAGTGATGCAGTTGAGATCTTCTCTTTTTGTATGCTCTTTCTGTCTGCTTGCTCTTCAGAATTATGGCCCCAGAATAGCAGTACAATTTTTCTCAGTAATGTACAGTTTCAAGTTATTTTAGATTAAATTGAAAACGAACTAAGCAAGTCTCCTTCTGGTTCAAATACCTACTGACCTAAATTCAATCAAAAAAGCATACCTTATGTAAGTTGAAAAGAAAAAAAATTACTCATTAAGTAATACTCACACCTCACTATAGCTAACATATACAGCTCTATATTTAATGGCATGTTCATCACCTACAATTGTATGATATATGAAACTCCACTTAAGAGCTATCACAATGACTTATCACTAAATTTGAAACACTCGAAAAGCATGTTACACTGTACATACAACTTAGATTGAACCTTCCCAACCTTGTTAGTTTCACTTAAAAGTAAATTTAAGTAAGTAAAGTTAGTATTTATAAGATTCCACTCATAAAAATTATCTTCTTAGGAGAGCATGCTACCGTACTTAGAGCCTGTTGTGCTCTAACAATAATGAAAACTAAAACAACTTTCCAATTCCATATAATGATGATGTGATGGCACAATCTCTGATAAAGGATTAGAACCTAACGAAATAATCCTTTTACGATATTAAAATAAAACTAAGGATCAAAGGACAAAAGTAACAGGTAACAAGTCTCTGTAACATTTGATAAAAATAAGCAAACATTACAAATATTATTCATGGTGTACGCAATGCATCCTTTATGAAGACTTAAGAGAGTATTTGAAGCAGAATTCTATATGTTACAGAAGGTGTTGCTGGTGTCTCATATGAAATAAATACTTGCTTTTCTCTCTCGGACCTACCTCCTGTAATATATCCTAGAACACGATTTGTCTTCCCTGGCCACATTACTCTGGCAGTCAGGAACCATTTTACAAGGACATAATACCACCAAATCTTTTTGCATCTGTCTCTCTTCAAATTTATAAGGTCCTATCTTATACACAGAAATTCTTCATCCTTTTGTGTTATCACATTTTATCCCATTCTACCACTCCAGCATCCCAAATAAAAAATTATTGTACATTTTTCTGACCCCCACTAGAACACTCTTCTACTTTGTGACCTAAACTTCATTATAACCTATTACATTTTTGTGACATTGTCACTACTGAAAACACTCAAAATGAATAACACAAGTAATCCACCGCACTAATAGGGTGTCTCCTCCAGGCTAATACTCTTCCTTTTAGCACAAGTCCCTGTCACTTCATCCCTTTAGCTACTTCTTTTTCCAATGAATGATTTCACTTTTCATCTACCTTTTCTCTCACTCAATACTCAAAACTTTCTATGTGCCAAGAAATGCTGAAAGGGGGTCTACATACACAGTTTCTCCCAAACTACGTTTCATTAGGAAATTTACCTCATTGAAACAGTAAGCAAACCCAGAATAATACAGAGAAAAAAATCTTTGACAACAGATCTGTGTTGCATTTATCTAATTTTCCATTTTTATCTACCTTTACTTTGTTAATTCTCATTTCTTCAAAATTTGTCTTCGTGCTTTGCAGACTACTGTGATCAAATCAGGACTGGTAATTATTTCTAATTCTAGCATTCATATACATCAATCCCAAGAGACTTTATCCTACTTAGTTCCAAACATTTTTAGACTATTGACTGGAAACAAGTTGGAAAGTATTTCATTCATCTATAACTTTTTAATTACCTTTATTAACATACAAATTGTATCTATTATTTTCTTCAACTGGAGAACAGAAAATCATTCACAGAGCATGTATTAATATTCTGTGTTCTAAAAATACCCAAAATGAAGTTCCTTTAGTTTCCTATTCAAACTCACTGTTGCAGGTATATTTTTTCTACCCATAAAAACTATCCATTTCCTCTTTTTTTCTGGAACAAGGACATAAAATTTGTAGCATTACATATGTATAATTGGTGTATAAAATTACTTCTTTTTTTCTTCTTAACTTCTATTCACATGTACAGGACATAAGTAAATATAATCATGAAACTTGCTTAGTATTTACTCCTACACCCACAACTTCCTCTTTACTACTGTTTCTGTAAAGCCTAATTTGATATCTGTACGGATTGCTCTGAGCAATTTGAGTGATTTTCTCTTCATATGCTCCCTTATAATTTTACATAAATAAATATGGCCTGCTCATCTGACACAATCTGCAGATTATTATCAAATTAACATTTTGTTAATGGAATTCACCACCCTTTTCAATTTCATTGCAAGTGGAGACTTATTCAATACTGAAGTCTTCAAAGACTACAATTTTGGATCTTCATCACAGAAAACTCCCTGGCAGGAAGAGATGGTACTGAGGGACTTCCTTAACTATGTGAAAGCTACAGGCCCACTAATTTAATTTGGTTAGAAAACAAATCATAACCAACAAGAACAACCTTTGAAGAAAGATGCAGTGTGATTTATCCTTCCTGAAATTTGGCTGGAGAGGTTCTGTCACTGAGTGTGGAAGCTTGATGACTTTTCCGACTTACAGAGATTATGAAGGAAGTAAATTACTACAAGTTGAGCAACTAAAAAGCTAGAGTATAAAAGCAAGATTAACAGCTTGAGAAGAGTCATCTTAAGATTCATTTAGAAGCATTAGCAGAATACATATTATAATACAGAAAAAACATTCAAAGTAGAAGAATGTAGGGGAAGATTCTGGTATTATTTTGGATTAATTGCCAAATTTCTTCTTCTTTTAGGAAGCCAGTATTTACTGATGCAACCAAAATAAAGTCAACAGGATGAACACATGTAGAATATAAACAGAGATCTTATTAACAGTTTCAGAGTTGCTGTATTTGTAACCCAAGTAGCAGCAATAAATTCCCTAAAATGACTGATGACTAGTGAAGACATGACAGAAATCACCAAACCAAGGTCACTACTGCTTTTTTCAAGTTTTTAAGAAGGTGTGTAGCAGACAAACTGAAGAGAGAATAGTAAATGTAATTTCCCTTACAAGTCTAAGTTCAATCAGAACCATGTAGGAAAGTAATTAAGGAATGTACGCACTTATTTTCTATAGGTCTCCTCCTCTATCAGTGATCCCTAACTACCACAAATAGCTGAGTTTTTATCCAGAATAATAATCTTGGTAGCATTAGTGAACAAGGTCTTAACTCTTTCATCTTAAAAGAATTTCTAATATTATTTTGTATTTTATTATATTCCTTTACATTATCTTGTTATGTTCAAATTGGTAAATATTACTCAGGTCTTCTCTTCATCCAACTGCATCTAGTTACATGTATTTTTCACTTTGGTACTGAATCTCCTCATGCTTCTCTCATTTACACTCAACAGACACCAATAAATATATACTCCTGGCTTTATATCATATCTTTATAACCTTAGTTCTTTGCACACTTCTGTAGGCTCCCTACAAGGTTCTAGCTGACAATGCCACAAACAAAATCATTTTGGGATATTTAAGGTTCTTCACTAAATTACTCATTATCTGGCTTCTTTAAGAATTTAATAACACTGACAAGGACATATTCTTAAATATTTCTACTGTCCTGCACTGACAACAAGTACTAAATTCTTTGTATTTAGTACATCACATGGTCATACTGGTACAAGTCCAGTAAACAGTTAGTGAAGTCTCCATCCCTGGAGGCTGGGCAAAGACCTGAGCAACCCACTCAAATTGATCCTACTTGATCAGTGGCGTTGGACTAGAAGATCTCCAGAGATACTTTCCAAAGTCAGCTATAAAGTGATTCCATGAAATAAAGGCACTTTTATAGATATTGATGTGAAAAAAATGTTCTAAAATGCACAGCATGCAAATGGTACAACATACTTTATCTTTCACATAAATAGCAGTAATTTTTTTAAAATCATAACCTTGTAACATATGAAGAACAGCTTACCCTCTCCACAAGAGCAGGAAATAAACACAACTGCATCATGGAGGTTGGAGGTTAACATGCAATTCCACTATTCCAGCAGTCAGTGAAATTAGTAACTGAAGGAAAAAAAGAAAGTCCTTTTAATTTCACATTCAAACAAAAGTATTTCACATTCTAAAAAAAATCTTCCTTTTGATTTACTCTTGTATCATAACAGCGAGAAAGAATCTAATGTTTAATTTTAAAGTATCATATTTTCTGCTTGTTATTTAACTAATCATGGATTATCCACAAAGATAAATCATTCAATCAGAATATTTTTAACTACCATCTTGCATTGTATCTAGCTTAGATACAATGTGATCTAGTAATCAAAGAATTAAATCAAAGAATATTTTAGAGTCTGTACTGAATTAATGAGTGACTTGTACAAGTCAGTCTCACCAGGCCCCAATTTCCCTTGTTAATATTTGCCAACTTCAAACCGGTGCTTGAAGTTGATTCATTAATATTTACAGATACTATCAAATTTGCAGCTGAAAGATGTTATACATTTTGAACGCAAGATATAAATCTGCATAATCAATTAAAGCAATTCAGTCATTTAGCAGTTTTGTCAAATAATTGTTTCCCCATCTCCAAGCATTACTCCCTGTTCAAAATACTAATCTAACTTTCACATTGAAAAAAAATAAAAAACAAAAATTCAGGACAGAATGTTTATTTTTAACCTTAATTTTTATAAAATGAATACAAGTGTATTCATGTATATTCTTTCATATATGTTATCATTTATAAAAAATATAAATATGTTAAGGAAACCTTGTAAAGAAAATTAATTTTCTTGCAGTCAAAATATTAAAAGTCACTAGAATAATCATCTAATGTAACTGGAGAAAGTACAAATCTGGAGACTTGGAGAAAACAAAATACAGATAAATTGAATAGTTCTTTAAAAGTATCCCATAGGAGAAGAATACAACTCCCAAAGTTTCAAGAAAGTTCCTGCTATCTTGCAAAAAACCATAAGCTCTCTTCACAACTTCTTAACCCAAAAACACAAATTCTCTCTCAAAACAAAATTCTTCTTTACTCATTTTAGCATTTATTAGAGACAACACACATATTGCTCCAAGGCCTGCCTTTTGTGAAGTGTAGTAAGACCTTCAGAATCATAGAATGTTAAGTGGTTGGAATGGACCTTACAGATCATCTAGTCCCAACTCTCCTGCCAAGTGCAGGAACACCTCCCACTGCACCAGGTTGCTCAAGGCCTTATCCAACCTGGCTTTGAACACTGCCAGGGTTGGGGCATCCAAAACCACCCTGAGCAATCTGTTCCAGTGTCTAACCTCACTCACAGCAAAAAATTTCTTCCTAACACCTAACCTAAATTTCCCCTCTTTCAATTTGTATCCATTACTCCTTTCCCTATCACTACAGTTCCTGGTGAAGAGTCCTTCTCTGGCTTCCCGGTAGGCCCTCTTCAGGTACTGGAAGACTGTGATACAGTTTCCACGCAACCTTCTCTTCTCCAGGATGGACAGTCCCAACTTTCTCAGCCTGTCCTCATAAGGGAGGTGCTCCAGTCCTCTTATCAACTTTGTGGTCCTCCTCTGGACTTGCTCCAACAGTTCATGTCCTTCTTATGTTGGGGACACCACAACTGTAAACAGTACTCCAAGTGGAGTATCACAAGGGCAGAGTAGAGGGGGAGAATCACTTCCCTCGACCTGCTGGTCACGCTTCTTTTGATGTGTCCCAGGGTTCAGTTGGCTGTCCGGGCTGTGAGTACACACTGCCACCTCATGCTGAGCTTTTCATCAAATGTGCCCTCCATTCTTTCTGAGAGACAGCATTAGGGGGGCAGAAGGCATTCTGCTTGCTTGTTCCCAATCAATTTAATGCTTCTCTAAGATGATTATATCAGGTACAGCCTCCTAGAGAAAGAGAGACAACTCGCACTCCTTGGAGATACCATGACTATGCTCAGATCCAGAATTCAAGAAACTGTGCAGTATGACAATCAAGAAAATTCCATTACAGGAGCTTGCAACCCAATAAAGAAATTGCAGCAAGGAGCAGGGAACAGGCTGTTTGACCTTTGACATGATAGGAAAATCTTCCAGCAGATCAGAGGGCACTGCACAGTTCACAGCTTAAAGTCACTGAATTAACTGCAACCAACTAGAAGCAACAGCAGACTCACGACAGTGAAGGCAGGGAAAAATTTGGTAAAATAAAAAAATTTCCTTTTCTTCTTTCTTCCTTATTCACTGAGTTTGCAATACTTAAAATGTTAATTATCCTAACTGTTATTCTAATAAAACTTGGCATTTTTTCAAATAAAAAACATTTGGTTTCCTTTGAGGAGATAATTATAAGGAGAAAGCCTACGCTGAATCACATCAAAATTATTGCCAACTCAGGGTCCCATGCCCCTGTAGTTACTAAATTTATTTCTACTGAAAAAAACCAAAACCAACAACAACAAAACAAACAAACAAAAACTCAATGGAGTTAAGTATTATTACTAATCCTACTTCAACTATACAGCTCCTGCTCAGAGGTAAAAAACAATCAAACCCACCAATTTAGGTAGTTTTAGTATCACAGACCAAACATTCTCAAAATTATGCCATATGAACACCTAGAGGTTCAATTATCACAACAGTAGCAGTTCAGAGAAGTCTATACCCACAGCAATTGGGGTTTTTTAAGCTAAAGATACACACGGAACACTGACCTCAAAAGATTTTAACCGGAGTTAAGAACTAATTGGAAGTAATAACTTTTCTAAACTAGATAAAATAATTACATCGACAATTACAACAAATACAGTTTGAAAATACTAAGCACTCCTTTGTTTTAGATACAGTAACAAATACAAGTGCTCACGATTTTTGTAACATATTACATTTGAAAGCTTGAAAAAAGATACAGTAATTTCTAATTTTTTTTACAATTGATGCAATTTTGAACAAAAGAGAGAATTGTACCTTGAAAGAAAAAGAGCAGCTTATCTGTCAAATACATGCAAGATTGTCTGTCAAACAGATAAAAAGTAATTGGTGATTTTTCTTTCAGAAAGATAAAAGAGTCAATTGCAAAAACAATACACTCTTCCAAGGAAATTATACATATATATATATATGGACTTATTTTAATAAGCACTGGATAAAGCAGTCTTCAGTTTTAACTATAAAGATAATACATTAACCAGAAACACAGCAAAGTGAGAAGTTATCTTTTGTCTTATCCAAACGAACAAAATGTCTTTGTAAGATAAAAATTGTCTTGGAAAATGAATAGGACAATTGCATTATAGTAAAAGTTTTTTTCCTGTTTACTTACTGTATTGACTTCATACAACTCTAATCTAATACAGTCACAGTCAATGATAAATAATAAAAATTCAAACATCAAGCATGATCTTCCTCCAGAGTAATAAGTTAATAAACTACTGAAAGGTCTTGCAGAAACCTCATTCCAAAAGAAAATACAGAGTGAGAATCTTTGGAAGTAATGAAATAAAAGAACAGGCTATGGAAGTTTCAAGGACATAATTTGTGTTAAAAAAGAAAGAATTTGTGACATCAAATTGTTTCTTACACTTGCAAACAAAGGCATAACAAAATCTGGGGATTAGAAATTCAACCTGGATAAATTCTGCTCATGAGAAAGGGGAAAGTAGTTCCTAAACACACAAGTGTAAAACAGATAAAGGCATCAGTCACTGAAACAGATGCTTTCACTAAGTAACAGATTCTTAGTTACTCATTCCCTTTTAATTGAAGAACCAAAAATGCTTTCAAAAGCCTATAGTAGTTCAATCAAGAGGCTGAAAAGAATTGGGTTTTCTGCCCTGCATTAGTCATATGAGAGCCGATGAAAAGGCGCATCCCTTTTTTAGCAGAACTTAGAGCTTAGTATGTTCAATAGAGCACCAAACTTAATACTCCTGATTCTGTGAAATACTTCTGGAGATCAGTAAACCTCTACCATAAAGAAGGTCAATCTTTTTAGCCTATCCAGCTGCATATCAAAATTTTGACAATAACCACATAGTACACAGTACATATCCTGAAAAGATAAAGTGTTCAGAAGCTTCCCTGAACAAGACTTGATGGAACATCCTGCTGAATGTCACTGCTGCTTCAGTAGCTGGGGATTTCTATTAACCAAGAGCTCCTGTGTCAGCATGTCCCCACTACTTGTCACATGATGTGATTCTAAAATGTGAGCTGCATTTACACCGCATGTAAGCTACAGATTTGCCAACACTTCTCTAGAAAAACAAACCCCAAGGCCTCTTAGCATGATCTTGTCAAAATGTATGCAAACACACTTAGTCATTAATCTTTCAGACTACTTTTCTGCCACAACAGCCAGACTTTTGATTTTTTCCCCAAAAGCCACAAAAAGCCCAATTAAAAAAAAAAAAAGCTATTGCTTTCCAAATTCCTCTTGAATTAAGCTGAACTTGTCATTAGAAGCTAAAAGAAGAACACTGTTGCTTTTCTACCATTTAGAATATAGAGCAGTAAGGTAAGGTCTTTCATCCTGCACATGACGTGGTTCTGTAATTAAGAAATTCACAAAGTAATGAGATGCTCCTTTACACCCAAGATGTTACTTTGTTCCACAATTTTGCATTAGAACCCAAATTTATCAATATCAGACATACAATGTTTGCTTTCCATTTCAGTGCTCTTCTGAGACCAAAGTACAGCTGCCTCTTCTGCTTGGGGAAAATGCAGCTTATCCTCAGCAGAATAATCTAGACGCCTTGGGAAAGGAACAGAGTGGGACAAAAAAGCAATGGACAACCTTAAGCTAATATTTGATGTTTCCATTCTCATTGGCATTGAAGCTCTCCACTAAATCTTTTCCACTAGCTTCCCCATGTCATTCCTTAATGGCTGCAAACATCAGAAGCAAGATCAGAGGTAATATCTTTCTTCTTTTGGCTGGCATCAAAGCAACATGCAAAAATTTAATAACCAAGAAACTTAACATCAGTCTGTTCACAACTCAGCTGGATGTTTATAAATCAAGATGAAAAACAGGCAGATGAGAGAGCTGCTGAGTTTGTAATAGTTATGCAAAACTGTAT